CCCTCAGCGCCCGTCTCCCTTGCTTTCACTCCCGCCCCCTCACCCCCAGTGCCCGTCTCCCCCCTGCCTCGCCCCCCCGCTCCAGCGTCCATCTTCCTTCCCACGAGTGTTTTCACCCCGGCGGGCAGCGTGAGGGGACAAGGGGGAGGCGGATGCCAGCGAGAAGCGCTGGTAGGGAGGGGGGTTTAAAATAAAACATAAAAACCTGAGGTAGGGTCTTGAGCAGTTATGAAATTTTGGAATAATTTTAAAAATATGTACAGGGTTTTGTTGTTTGGCTTTTTTTAAAGACACCAGGTATTATTCCAACTGCTCTGTTCTAGCACTGAGAATGTTTAATTTTGTATTAGAAGATTGGTTTGAAGAGGAGCTCACTGTATCTCCATACTTGAATTCTGTGGACAAGAAATTGCATTTTCATCCCTTCAATGAGCCCAGGGTTTAAAATGAGTAGTAAATCATCGATAGTAAATGAAAGTAAACTTGTATTTCAGTAGCTTTGTATTAAGGTGTGGAAATGATACAGTTAACAGTAGGATTTTATGTCTTATGATGCATATTCCTAGGCCCAGTCTCATGGCCTGTATTTATATGCTATGAGTAAGTGATTTTGGTGATAATAGTCACCGGAGTGCAACTTGAAGGAACAGCTTTCTAGATTGAGCTGTTACTCAGGCAGATGGTCAATGACTGAGACAAAGCTATTTCGCTCAATAGTAAACTCTGTCTAGTGGATTAACACAAGTTTTGTGTGTTTCACCTCACTGGTTATAGATAATTCCACCATGCTAAAAATTATCAAACCATATGTTTGGTGCATTTAACTGTTTATATATAACCTTGAATAGTTTTATGCAGTGCTAACATACTAGTGAATCTCCATTTATAAATCAAAATTTTAAAACAGCTAAACTATCAAATGAATGAGGTTGTCTGGTAGTGTATGAATTAAACCCAAGCTATATCCATATAGAAACACACTGGATTTCTAGAATTGAAAGTGCTTCAATAATTTCTTAAGGGATTGAAAAGCTGAAGCTCTTCAGACTGCAACTGAAAGAATGCAGTTTTATATCAAAAGAGCTTTGTGTTGTATTTTCCATCCATGACTTTCAAGTGAGATCTCTTCATTTCCTGGTTATAATTTTTTTTTATAACTGTTGATCTGGAATGATTTATCTGGGATCCGACCATTATATTGTTCCCGTAATCCTCTTCACACAAACTACAATAAGAGGATTTTGTGTGCTAAATTTGTGTCAGCCTTCTTAAAATACTTTGTTCCTTTCCATAATGTTTATGAAATACTGTACTGAAAAACTGGATTATCTGTGGAAAACACATCTTAAAAACATGTGACTTTTGGAAAAAAGGGCTGTGGTTACATTTGGAGGCACATACGTGCATTCCCATCTACCTCAAGATTAGCCAAGCACATACATCTAGTGAGCTGACCAAAGGAAAACAATTTGTTGAGTGTTTGTTTTTTTTATAGTAACTATATTTTGCTGATACCTAAAAAAGAAGTGTGATAGTGATATTCCTTTTAATTTAGTGACTGCGCTGTGGAAACTCTTGATCCCTTTTTGGCAAAGACACTAGCTCTTGTACAGCTGGTTTCTTTTATTTAGCAAGCTTGCACATAAAGTAGGTGGGAAACAATAGCTAGAAATAGACTGCTTAGATGAAAATGAAGGGTATGATTCGGTCTGGCAGTTATGGCGTGAGGATTAAGTCAAGTGTGCCTGATTCTGCTTGTTGTGCTGTCAAAGTAAAACTCAATTAGATGTTAACGTCCTTTTAATGAGAATTTATTACAAGCTGAGGGTTTGGTTTTTTTATTCTGTATATGTGCTTTTCATGTGGGATTATATTTACAATTTGTTCTGAAATACTAATTTCTTAAGTAATTCAGTAATTAAAAGCCTTGATCATGAATATAATTTCACCTCTTCATATCCAGAGATGCTAGAATTGAATGGAGGACTGTTTTAAAAACAAAGCAAACCAACCTATATCTGTCTGATCTTACTTTGTCTAAATCCTCTGTCAAAATATTGCAGGTTCTGATAGTTTTTTTTTTCTCTGTTTGTTACGGCTCACCAGCATGACAGAATAATGAGGGGAAAATGCTTTTAAATTAAAATGTTCTTAGTTCAGATAAATAAACAAAAGTGCCTTGTTTGGGGGACAAAGCATTCTATACAGTGCAGCAAAAATATTTTAAACTAGGGCTACTTTAAAACTATTACAGTGGCTCACCGTAGTCGTGCTTGCCATCCACAGTGGCTTTGGACTAGCATGGAGCCTGCTGAAGTAAGATCAGCACCTCTTTTTTGCCTCATAAATGTGATCTGAGGTGTCAGGAGGAGTTGTGGAGGCAAGATGGCTGTTAAATAGCCAGAAATACCAGTAAGGCTAAATGGGTTGGTGTCACTTAATTAGTCTTTGTCACAGAGTCAGGTTTGGAATTGGCAGGAGCCATGCTGAGCCCCAAGTCTTGAAGTTGATACTCTTTGAAGATGCATGGTACAGTTTTATACTCACCTGTGAAATCAAGTGTCACTCTGGGATTTCGAGAAGTCTGCTTTTGGTCTTCAAACACGAGGTTTGGAACTTTACTTTCATTTTAAAAAGGAAGTTTAGAATCTGGTGCCGTCATACAACTGTGGTGCTGAGCACAGTCACATTTTACTGGTGCATTATTCCAGCCCCGCTGTAAACAGTAGCAGGTATTTTAGCATTCCCTGTAATCACAGCAAATGTGCAGTGACTCTCTGTAGGGCAGGATGGCACTTCTGAGGACTCTAAGAAATGTAATCACAATTGTTTTCCTCTTTAGATGATTTTAAGCCAGCGTCGATTGATACATCTTGTGAGGGCGACCTCCAAGTGGGCAAAGGAGATGACGTGACAATCACTTTGCCACATATCCCCGTAAGTTTGTTATATATGCATCCTTGTTTACTCTCCAACAACTTTGCAACGTAGTTATGGTCTAACATAAATGTTCTTTTCGTTTTCATCTTTGATAATCCAAGTGCGTTCAATATTTGAGCAGCCAGACTTGCTGTGTGTTACCTTAGGAAGGGACTGTGCAATATTTGGAAAGGGTTATATTTGTAAGGTTGCAGGCCATCCCTTTACTTTTGATTCCTTCCTTCCTACTCTTCCTTGAATAGCAAGAAGACTTTTACTGTTACTTGCAGCTCTATACCTGGTTTCCATCCATTTTTAGTGAAGAAAGGCAGAGTAATTTGGGCTCTAGTCAAGGTTCAATGTTCAGAAGCCAGAGATAGGCCTGTAAGCGTATTCTTCCCATTACACGTACAGATAGCATAGAGTTCCCTGCCTTTAGCTTTATCAGTGGAAGCGAGGGGGGCGGTTCTGGTGAGTGGCAGTGAAGTGGTTTCCCATCCACTTCCTCCTCAAATTAGGCCATAAAGATCTACTGTGTGAGGACGACAGTCACACAGCAATAAAACAAGTGATCAAACTGTTTATAGGTGCAGCTGTTTTGTAATTGAAGGTTCAGTGGTTTCTTTCCCAAAACAAAAGAAAGTGCTTGGGCTTGCATATCCACTGGAACTGGATTTGTTTATTAGCTGCAGTTAATGCTGTGTGTCAAGCCAATAAACCAGAATTCACAGACATCAATGGGTTTGGTCATTGCACGGGGACACCAGTCAGTTTGGAAGCCGTATGTCAGATCCTTTTGGCATTGTTTATTCTAGCATGTTGGTGGTTTTAACTGGTAGGTGATGATACTTTGGTAATTCTCACTGAATGAAGCTTTAGCCTGCTTCTCTCCCACCCCCCCACTCCTGGGTTTTATATGGCTTTGGTCACCTTTAGTGCTGCAGGAGGCCACATACTGGTTTTTGTCTATATAAACAATGAGCATGGTAGTGCAATTTGAGACCAGGTAACAATATGATTACTAGCAGTAGCATTCATCTTGGATTGACTGGGAACAGTGTTGTTCATTCATCTTTTGTGTTGAATGACATCACCTGTAATGTCCCTTTCCAAATCTCTGTATTGATTAGTTTAATTTGATTGTCTTCCCACGAGTGTGAAAAGCTTTAATCTTATAGTTATGCTTAGGCAGCTGACTGCCCCGAATGCAGCTGCTGCATGTATGTTGTTCCAAGGCAGTGCTGCTGTGTTCTGGACAGAGAACTGGAAAATACTGAGCATATTGGAAAAGAGTGAGAAGTTTTGAGATAGTTTCATCCTGAGAGAATTTACTGAATTTTCTGGATCCTGCTTTGGTTTTCAGTTGCCCAGCAGCTGGATGAGATTCAGATTCTGAGTGGGTTTTTTTAGTTGCCTGGTCCCTGAGGATATCTCTGAAATTTGTTCAGTAGAGATATTTTGGTGTCCCTTGCTGCTTGGATAAACTGAAGTACTATTTCTACATGTGGATTTATTGGCTTTAATATTTGATAAACAATCTCGACTGGGGAAGTGAAGAATTTCTGTTTGTTAAAAAACTCTCACACAAGAAAATAAATTGATTAAATGTTACCTGTTTCATCTACCTTCTTTTTCTATCCTGCTTTTGTGGTTTAGAGCTGAGCTGGCCATTGCAGTCGGCAGAATCTGCAAGACAGTGTTGTTTAGGCACTAACATAAAACCTAAACATTTAATTTTAAGTAGAAGGGTGGGACTGTTAATTTGCTTAAGCAGGATTCCATTTCTGCTTATTTTTTAGCCAAAGTTGCATTCTGGGAAGCAGAATGATAGCCAACAAACTCTGATGAATTTTCATTAAATTTGTGCATTATGTGTTTCCTGACTTAGTTGTCAACAGTGAGCAGGATTTGACTTTCAGCTTGCTTTTTATTCTGTTAAGTGTTGCTTTCCTTTTAAATGTAGGAATGATAAAAATGAAGTATTTGAAGACTTAGACTGTACTGAGACACCTTTTCTGAATCGTATCTGCATCTCTTACTGTATCTTTGTTAGAAATTCAGATTTTTCACCCTTACTGTTCCAAAACCATTTTAAATTCAAGTATATTCTATTTATTAGCAATATGGAAAATAGGAATTGCATAAAATGTAGAAGAGCGCGTTTCTCCCTTTTCTCCCCAGTTTTGGTTGCATTCCTACAGCATGTGCAGAAGTGCACATGAGTAAACATTTTTTCTTTTTTAATTGATTTTGTACAGTAGCTATACATTACAGAGAAATCTGAGGTTTCATAGCTGAGAATATATTTCTATATATCTCCTTTGAGTAACATGTTCTTTTGTGACATGGCCAGGTGTGTGTCCACGCTGCTGTGTGCAGATAGACCATAGGTTCTGCCCCATGTAACCCCAAATCCGGATGTATGAGTCAGCCTGTTCCTGCATGCAGTAGCAGTTAGCCAGCATGCACCACCACATGAGTTTGTCTTTATTGCTTCTCAGTCTGAGCCATTAGAATTTTATGGCTCTATGCAGCATTGTGTGGACTCGAGGACTTTCTGGAAGGTGTCAAAATTACCCCATTTGCTCTTCAGAAGGCATTTTGGTATAATTGCATGGCTCTATGTGCTAATCTGACTTTGAAGAAGGCAGCTGTTCTTACATACTTTGTGGCAGTTGCTTGTAATCCACTATGAAAATATTGCCATATATATATATATAAATTACAAAGTAGTTTAAATTGTTTTTCAATTGACCGCATATTTCTTTAGGCAACGGTTCTGCTAAGCGAATAATTAGACCTCTATTTCTTATTCAAACACAAGATTTCCTGAGCAGAAATGTCAAGAAGATTTCTGACACTTATCAGGACCAGCTATGCAAATTCGGTTATGTTACCATTTTGGGAATGAGAACTGTAAATAATGGCAACCGTGGAGAAGATGTTTTGTCACTGCAAAGGCACTTAAAATGATGAAAGGCATAATATTGCTACGAGGAAACGTCTCATCTAGTGCATATAACTGTATTTTTCCCTTTTCATGAATGAACATTTTCTGTAGGTACTAAACGTAAACTGCTTATGACCTCTTGGTCAGAACAGTACGTATATTCGTTTCTCTTAGTGTTTATAAGCTTTTGGGTAGGGGATGATAACCAAACAAATGTGTGTTCTTTCTTTGATACCAGGGTTCAACTCCACCAATGACTGTGTTTAAAGGAAATAAAAGGCCATATCAGAAGGACTGTGTGCTTATTGTCGATCATGACACTGGGGAATATATGCTGGAAAAACTTAATAGCAGCATTCAAGTCAAGAAAACAAGGTAAAGCTGGGGACAGGGCTGTTTATAGGATTAATTCTTGCTGAAGTTTCTTCTTCAGGCTGTCTTCTGAACCAGAACTCTGATGATTTGAAGCTTTGGAAGCTGGCTGAAGGATGGGATGTTTCAGGAATCTCTAGTTAGCTGACAGAGGCCATGGAAGTATTAGGCTGTCAAAAGGATTGTTGGACTTGCTAGATTTGTTCCCCTACAGCTTCCTGTGGGAGTTATGATGCTTTAATAATGCACTCTTACGGTACAAGAAACACTCATCCCTGTGTTGAATCAGTGTTACGTAAAGTGGAACACAAGTCCAAAGCCTCCAGCTGAGGAGGTGAACTGTATTAGGAATAATGGTTATGAGGTTTTGCCTAGAATTGCTGAGGCCAGAAATCCCCTCTGACCCAATATTCTCACTTGACTGCACAAATGCTACAAAGTGTGCAGTTGGAACATTTTTAGTAGTTTTGCTGCTCTGCAAGTACCTGAAGTCTGTGGATCATGTTTGTTCAACATCACCAGAGCACAGATTGTTGAGATCTAAAGAGAAAGCAGTTACTCAAATGTCTCCTGGAGAAAAAGCTCTTAAATAATTTTACAGGTTTTACATTTAAAAAAACCCTCAACTTCGTTGCAGTGTAGGACTTTTAGCTGCTAAAACTACTAGAAATGCAGATTGCAGCTCATCAGCAGTTGGCTGAAAGTTTGCTAAGAGCACCTTCAGTTCAAGGTAAAAGGACTGTAACACTCCTGAATCAGTGATGCGAAAACTCATCCATGTGGCATTCGTCTTGTCCAGTGAATATGAGCACGTCACAGATGAGATTTGAATTCCCAATGTAAGTTCTGGACTTTATCCAGGTGAAGCTTAAGTCAGAAAGGGGAAAAGAAGTGCAAGAGGGCTTGCGTTCAGTGAGGTGTTTGGATCCACTGAGTTTTGGCTCTGGTAAAGTGAATATTTCAACTTTTCTCAAGCAGAGGCAGGGTAGTAAAAAAATTGTAAGATCCCTATTTTGAGGAGTAATGCTTTGCAAGGTCATTCAGGTTTCTAGATCAGAGATGTCTTTTTTCCTTTTTCAAAATATTTTTCATGGCTACTTTGATCTTTAACGACCTGTTGACACTCTGTGGGAACAGAGTTTTTAGTGCTAACGTCATTGATGAGGGAGTAATTGCACTTATTCTACATAAAACCTTCTGTAGTATCAAGAGCATCATTAATACTGGAAACAATAATTTGCTTTTACCTTTCACTTGATACAGTGAGTGTATTTCCAAATCCTCACTTCTATTGTAAATGACTGTGAACTGCATTAATGTGGTATTTAATAGCTGCATTTCAGTGATGAGTGAAGAGGTGGTTCTGTGCTTCGTTTTTGAGGTTGCATCTGCAATTCAATGAGGCACAGAGATACCCGAATTAGTGCTAAATGCTTGAGCCCAGATACCAGGAGCGGTTTAGGCGAAATCTTGGGAAGTTCCTCATGGGCTGGTTTAACTTGTTTTGCAGTGGGATTAGCACAGGCAAAAGTGTCACACTGCAGAGCTGGAACTCTCCTAGAGCTGAAGCTGAGCTCAGGTATAAATTAATTAATATGGGCTGCTTCTGTGCTACACCACATAAAGCCATACCTCAGAAGGCTTGGTGTTACGTGATAAATGCACCACACACTTAAACCTCATTATGGTGTACCATTGAGGGACCTGAATAAGTATATTGGTTTGGTTTGTGGGTTTTTTCTGCCACGGATATTGACTGTCCTACAGTCTCAATCACATCATTGATTCAGTAGAAGTCAGACATACCTGATCTGAAGTGAACAGCAAGTCTGGAGACTATTTCCCATTAAGGAAACAGCTTAAAGTATTTTGAAGGGATAGTATGATTGAAAAACAGGAATTAAATGCTTGCATGGTGTATTTAGCAGTAAGAGTGATTGCTCTAGTCAGGTTGACCTCTAAGAGAGTTCAGTTTGAGATTATTTAATTGTAAGTGAGAAAGTTGTTTCTTTTGCTGTGATTGTTTTAAGCAGGATTTTGTTATGAGTGTGCTTGTGTTATCATGTAGTTACTTAAAATTACTGATTGCTTTTTCAGTTTTTTAGGAATATAAATACTAATTGCTAAATTAAAGCCTTCATTGTTCTTCAAGTAGAGAATTTGGCACCACTGAACCACATCTGGATTCGAAAATACATTTTGTAAGGGTGTTGTAGTGTGGTTGTATATGCATATTTACTTTTGAAAACAAGTGTTGCATACAGAAAGCTGTAATTCACTGTTTATCTTTATAAAACAAAGGAGAGATCTGTACAAAAGGAAGTCATAGATTATGTACTAGTACAAGGATACTGAAAAAGCTGAACGTAACTGCACGGTACCACTGGATGTCTCTGGTTGTTTTTTCAGAGCAGAGGGCAGCAGTAAGATCCAAGCTCGAATAGAACAACAGTCTGCCCGAGCCTCTCAGCCTCCTTCACAGTTCAGAGCCCCAACCAAGCCAGCAGTTGGACCTAAAACTTCTCCTTTGAAAGATAATCCTTCGCCTGAGCCTCAGCTGGATGACATTAAGAGAGGTAAAGAAGGGTTTGTAGTTTCCTGAGTTTTGCTTGGTTTTATCTTTTGTCTTTATAATAAAAACTATGATTGTGCAATTTATAAAAATGTTAGAATGTTCAGGGATTAAAAGATGGTACTTGACAGCTGGTTTGTCGTCTTTATATCTCATTTTAAGGCATCTTAGTGAATTATTTATTCTCTTCTGCCAGCACAGATATTTATACTGCAGTCTTCTCTGGCACGAGAGAACATTCTCTTTCTGGGTAATTTTCTCTCTTCCAAACTGTTTCGCTGTTCTGAAAAGAAGACAAAATATGTGTGGATTCAGAAACCTGTAGCTGAGTGCTAGACAAGTTGAATCGGTGTCTTGGGCAACGACAGCAACAGCAAAAGCTGATGGTCCAAGATCTACTTATGCAATCAAATAACTTGGCCGAAAATTATTCCTGTACTGAGTAAGGCTGGAGCCAGTTGCCAGTGGGATGGAAGGGCTCGGTGGCTGAATTCCCAGCACAAGACCTGGCACTTGTGTCGTGCCAAGTAATGTTAATAGGGAAGAGATGAGAGAGTGAACAACCCTGCAGCTTTCCCTTTACCACAACTGCTCCTCTGCAGCTTCGGTCACGTTTGCCATATAGTTGCTATACTTCTGTTAAAGTGCCTTGAACGGAAGACTGGCTCGACTCAGTCTCCTGCTCAAGCAATGCTTTGTCTCAGTGTTTTGCTGTGGGCAGGGTGCACTTTCTTTGCCCCTGTCCATCCTTTCATACTGCTGTGATACCTTGTTTTGCTATGGATAACACAGTCAGAATGAGGAAGACTTTAAATTTAAATTTTTATTTCATTCTTTTGTGTTTCTTGTCTGGCACCAGATGCAATTATTTTATTTTAAGTTTGTTCTTTCTGTCTAGTATTTTTTTTCCTGTGTCTTTCTTTTTTCTCTGTCCTAAATATCTATTTTTGTCTGTAGACTTAGCCTATGTTAATTGCCCAGACTATGTTAATTACTTAGCAGGATATTTTTTCAGTTCATGGTAATCCCTAGGTGACTTTTTTACTGCCAAGTTATCTGTGTGTTTGCATAGGTGCTGACTGGTCTCACTCTTTCGCAGCAGTAGTATTTTCAATCCCTGGACACTGGTCAGCAGACAGAATCAAAGTCTGAGAATCTGTTAGCTACAGTTCCCTTAGCTGCATTGCCATTTTTATTTTCTGTGTAATAGGTAAGGAGAAAGATAACAGGTGATATGTATAAATTTAAAAATTTAATCAGTTATGAATTTTAAATGTCTTTTTTGTAACGCATAACAAGTTACTTAACCGTTGGAGCACTCTTTTGTATACATACAGCAATTTGTAAAGGTTGTGTTATAGTGAAATAATTACATTTGCCTGGTGTGACATCTGTTCTACAAAGACCATTTTCCAGTGGTCTAAAGTATACATCACATTGTTTAGAACTGTACTAGTAATTCTTTGCCACCTGATCATCTTTTATTGGAAAGTACCTCCAAATAAATAACCTGTGGAGTTTTGTTTCCAAAATCAAGCAAAAGAACATCTGGCTTGTACTAAAAATAAGACTTCAGGGAGAGTCATTCAAGGACCAAAAAGAGCAGAAATAGCTGGGCAGGGTTTTTCTTGCTTACAGTATATGCTCTTTATAACCTTTTTCCAGCATTTATTATCCAGAGCATTAGCATTTATATCATAAGAATCTACTTGGGAAAGGTAGAACTAAAATGGCACGATTCTACAATGAAAATAATAAAACTTAACTGTAAAGCCTGTGAGATAGTCTTCAGTCCTGTTATCTTCCCTTATTGTGTCTTTTTATGAAAAAAGAGTGGTGAGTTCTGAAGAGACTCTGAAGTGTTCTTTCCGTTCGAGCAGTGGCTTTCCTTTTGGGTGAAGTACCTGTTTTGTAGAAAAGAAAGGTAAACATAAAGCTGAAATTCTGCGGGTTTTTTTTCTTTAATGGACAACACAGAACTTACAGTCCCTAAAGGAGGTGGCTGAAAGGGTCTCTGGTGCTATGATGCTCTCTTGCTCCCAATATGCCCTACTTAAGGGTGTGGTAAGACACAGCCCTTGTAATGTTTAACAGTAGTTTTCAGGTAACCTCAGTGCAGGTTTCTGCTTTTCCCCAGTACCCTCAGTTGTCCATTCCCGTAGTTCCCCTTACAGATGAGCTGGGAAACGAGCTTTCAGGCAGGGGGTTGGTTCTCTGTCCCATTACACAGCTGCTTGTACAACAGTGCCTGAGGACAGCGTCAGAGCACGTGGGAGTTGAACCAGTCCTTTCCTGCACACAGAGAGGCCTTTGGGAGGCTGTGTCTAGGGTCCTGCACCAGAGGAATCTTTTCCCCTGCAAGCTTTTATATTGTCCTCTTGCCTGAAGGGAGCAAAAGAAAGGGTAAGAGCTTGTTTGTTTGATTACTTTGCTACATCTGATAACATTTCATTAAGCGATGAACATTTGCACACATAGACCACAATAGAGCTATTTATGTGCATGAAATAATCGGGGTTTATCAGACATATTTGACCACAACAGAAATGTTTTTAATAACATTGACATAATTTTTAAAAACATTGGCATAATTACAGCATGCCGTACTTGGGGAAAAAACCCACAAAAACATATTTCTGGTTTGGAGACTGTAAATTCAGCGCTTAAAAATCTGAGCAGTTCTTATTTGCCTAAAATGCAGCTGTAGTCTGTAAGGATTATACCATAGCACTGTGCTTGTCTCTCAAGAACATCTCAATCAAATTTTCTGTACTTCGATATAAAATACTGCCTCTTCTAGCTGCAATCTCCACGTACTCAAAGTGCCAGTATCAGGTTGATTTCTCTCCACCTTGCATATCATTATTAACAGTGAGCATTCTGCCGTGACCATACAACCTTATACTCCCTAAAACTGAGTGACTTCCTGAACTGAATTCCCAAAAGTCCTTGGTATTCTTGTAGCCCAATGTTAGGGCTTCAGTTAAAAATTCTGCATAGCCTGTTGGAATTGAGAGAAGAATAAAAACTCTTAGTTATTATGGAAAGAAATTAGGACATTTGATACTGTATCTACACAGAAGACAGTCGTGTTAAGAGAGGCTGTTTTGTTTGTATAATGATTTGTGACCTTGGTTTTTTTTTTACTCTAATAACTGCATTGACTGCCAGTATAAAATAGTAAGCCATTTTGTTTTCTTAAAAGAAAGCCTACAGTTGTAACATGAAATGAGCAAAAGACAAGGTTCCCCTAGCAATGTCAGTCTTTTCAGATGATGTAAACTCAATTAAGGCAGGTGTTCAAAACTTTACTATATGGAAAGCTTTCTTAATAGTAACTGCTGTACATCCTGACTCTTGTCATGTTTTAAATCTTAAAGGTGCATCAACGTGAGGTGTTTGATCTTACAGCACAGAAAGGTCTAGGAAAAATCTGACTCCTCTGTTGTTCAGCTTAGCATATATGTACACGTATATACAGACAACTATTTTAATTGAAGGCACCACAAGGAAACATTTAGCCAAGGCTTTGGTACCTATAATTGCACTAAGCATAACAGGCAAATAAGAAAATGCGAAATTTGACTATTTTAAAGCAGATGTATTTTTCCTACAAGGCGTTGATGTTGTTTTTGGCTTAGCCACCATCTTTAACAGGGTGACACAAGAGAGTTTTGAAGATGCTTCCTTAGTGGTCTTGCTGGAGTTCAGCCTGACAGACTTTTAGCGAAGCAGCAGCCACCATAACTTTAGTGAAAACAGTTGCTTTTTTCTCATCTGGTCAGCCAAGATATTTAGAATTCTGGGTTTGAGGAATTAAGAGACAACAGAGACCCAGAGAAGATGGGCTTAGACTGTTAACACCCTTAACTTCCCAGTCCTTGAAGCTTGTGATACTGGTGCTGTTTTGCTCTCTCTACCTGTATTCATCATAGTGGGCCTTAACCACTTTTTCCAAGGCATTCTCCCTTTCCCACCTCATAATCAAAACTCTCTTATGAGCTCACAGTTTTCTGCCTCCCCAGCAGAAAACCTTTACTTTGCAATCTGACACTAATCTCTAATTCTGTTTAAAATTATCTAGACTAATCTTCCTTTCCCGTTTGTCAGACTGCATCACTTCCTTCAGTTATCTCCTCACCTACTGTGTGAGTTCAAAATTCTTATTTAGATTTTTTTTTCCTAGTTCTCTAATTCTTTTCCCTTTCACCACCAATGCCTCTTAGATTGCTTCACCATCTTCACACTATTTTATAGGCTGCTTTCTGGGCTGCTATGTTCTTCCTGGACCATGTGCCAACATTCCTCCATTTCAGCCATAGACTCTCTAGCTCTGTAAGCATACGTGTGTCATTCTCAGACACTTACTTGTCCCTTGTTAGACTTCTTTATTGGATCTCTTATAGACTGGTCTATAGGTGTTTGAGCTTGCTATAATCCAGAATATTCTAACAACATATTGTTATTATCACTATAACTTACAACTAACAACTCTAATCATCGCTAGAGAGGTGAATAAATTTTACACTGTTAAGCTAGGAAACAAAATAAATCTGGGCATTTTAAAGAGAAAGAACCCTTGTTTCTGTTTACCTTTTCATTAGCTTTCCCCTATGAATTTCTTAGCCTTGAACACAGAGAATAGTTACCATTTGAAATTCTTAATATGGATAGGCTGAGAACAGTGACTTACAAGTGCTCATTTGTCTGTGTATCAGACTCCAGGCATGAAATGGATTTTTAAAACCTGCAAGACTGTTGAGAGGGAATAAGGGAGAAAGACATTATAGTGCAAATATTATCTTCTGTTGAGCTAATCATATATTCTTCCTCCCTCTTCCAATGATCTCTTATGCTATGTCTTCAAGATGAAAAAGTTTTACCTGGCATACAAATAAGGTGCAGAGAACACAGGTGGTCTAGTCGGGGATCTAGATTTGGGAAGAAAGTTGCAGGAACAACCCCACTATCCTTAAATAGTCAGTCAGAGTTAGTCGTATGGTTGTTCCCTTTCAATACACCTTCCTTGCCTCTGATTCAATAGAACCATAGCATTTGAAATTGAGCTTTGAACTTTGAAATTAAAAATAGCCATTTTAAAACCAGCGAAGGAAAGCTTAATTTCTAAAACCAATACATGCTGAGCTAGAGGAACTCTCTTCAGCAAATAATGTGGAGGCTGAAAACTTAGCTATTACTCAGCTCAGTGTTGAGCAGCCCAAGGAAAATGGGCCTTATGAAAAAAAAGGGAAGAGTTTCAGTTGCTCAGACTTACTCCTGTGGGGGCTGGAGATTAGAATCATTAAAATTGCACCATTTTTACATAAAGAAAGGACTCATTTTACGTGATCTGGCTATGCCATACACAAGAAGGATGTCTTCAGCTGAGGCGCTGGGGTTCACCTCACTCCGATACACATCAGTTTCCATTTGTCAGGTAGAGATGGTAATACCTCATCTGTCCCTTCTTTCATTCTTGTCCTCTTAGCCTGTGACTTCTCAGGGCAAGCACTGAGTTCTAACCCTGTGGGTATACAGCTGTTAGCACAACAAAAGCCAAATTTCGAGGGTTTCACATCCTATGCTTAATCTGCATGGGAATATTGTTCTTTAATGGAAACCTGCCTAGGTGAACTGAGTCATTAGATACTCCAGTTTGAGAGTGAATACAAAAGAATTGTCCTCTGATAGTGTTTAGACCACTTACAATTATGATAAATTTAACAATATGGTGTGACTTGGAATGACCTGCCTTAATAGCTGGTTGGTAACCAGTTGTTGAGCCAACGCTAGGTGTTGTGGTGCTGTCATGGTATTCCAGTGTTTCTTTGCACTGGAAACTCTGAGGTGGGGTGTGTCTGACTTGAATTACTTCCCAGTTTCTGAGTAGTCTCTCTGTTTTCCTGGCTACTTGTAAGGTCTATAGCAGGTTAAGGCATTGCTTCAACTTCCCAACTTGTGAATATTCTCACCTGCCCCACTGCAAAGTTATCCAATGTCATCCATTGGCTTCTGAAGTTTGTTTAAAATGAGTTGTGCTACTTCGCACTGGAGCAGTTTCATACATTATCTGAAGACAAGACAGTTTCTGTTGTGATCATGTGCCTATGCCCTCTGCCCCCTTTTTTGTGTTTTCCAAATGCCTAAATGTCACTGACCTCTAACAATTTGGATTCCTCCACTTTAAGATGTTTTAAAAAACTGTGCTGGCTGTTGGCCTGTAAACCTCAATCAGGAAATGTACTTACTTTGTATGTAGAGCACAAAACCTGTCAAAAATAATGAAGCAGGAGGTGTTTTCAGGAGTGTAAAGTATATAAATAATAATAGCAGAAGTGAATGTTTTATGATACTAACCTATGCTGTTGCTTCTTTAAATTTATCTGCAATAACTAAGTAAAAAAGTTTTCAGAACTTTTTGGTTTTCCTTCCTGTCTCCCTCTCTCATGTGAGATATTTTGATGTGATAACTTATACTTGACAACAATACTGAATTTTCACATTCTTTTCCAAAATTCCATGGGGCCCTGTTTATGGTTTCAACCAGATGAATGTCCTTTTATTTCAGAGCTGAGAGCAGAGGTTGAAATTATTGAGCAGATGAGCAGCAGCAGTGGAAGCAGCTCGTCGGATTCAGAAAGCTCATCTGGGAGTGAAGATGAAAGCTCCAGCAGTGAGGGGGAAGAGCCAGCACATGTTTCCCCTTCCCAGCCACCGCACCAGCAGTATAACAACAGGAATGCTGTTGCTAACGGCACCAGCAGGCCACAAGGAAGCAATCAACTCATGAACACGCTCCGTAAGTAAAGACTTGTGTCTTATTGCTGTGGGAAGCTGCTGGAGACCACTCATTTTCTTAGCATGTTAGGCTAACTCTGTGAAGTGCTGTTTGCCAAACAGTAATCCTAGGGAGCTGCCCTGGCTGAAATATTTGGTCAGGTTTTTTGAACAGAAGGCTGAGGCCTGTCTGAAGGTGTGGAGATTGCTTCAGTTTGGTCAAGAGCCTGTGGGCTCGTTGACCATGCTATGCCTTGATTCAGGCTTCCAGGTGGAATGAGTGGGTAGCAAAGCATCTGTGCAGAAGGATCTGGTGCACTGGAGGATGGGAATTATTTTACTATGAAAACACAGATTAAACATAAATAGCGGGGTTGTCACATGTGTCAGTTAAAGGTCTGTGAAGAGCTGTGAATGTCACAAGGCTGTCCTGTGGTCATAAATGCACAGTCTCTGTGGCCTTCATTATTAGCTGCATTGCTTTGTCAGAGTATTTACTTTACACTGTGTTGATCTCAGCTGCATTTTCACAAATACCACATTTTGAAGGGAAATTTAAAGTGCCATGTATTTGGTTAAAATATTACCACTATGGTGTTTGCAAGCATTGAATCAGTGCAAACTCACTCCACCATCTAAAAAGTGTAAAAAGCATTTTTAAAGCATAGTTTTGTCCCATGAGACTCTCTCTGGGGAAGTGGTGTACATCTGTGTTGCTCTTTCTGTATGCTAGATCAGTGGAGTTAAAATACTGCATTTACAAAAAACCCAGAACTTGATTATCATAAATTGTTCTTAATTTCTCCTGAAGCATGTTTGTGTACATCTCTTGGCACGCACACAGAGGGGACTGTTGGAGTTTAAATATAGATATCTGCAGGGTTTCCAGGTTTGAGAAGACAAGTATATTATGCAGACAATACTGAAAAGGCCAGCTGGAAAACTAGAGAGGCCTGTCAGTCTTCCTGTCAGTAATGCATGCCTAAGTGAAATCCAAAGTTCAGCAAAGTCAGTAGGACTCTTTCTGTTTCCCTGTTTCTGGTTGTGAGCTGCCTCTTCCCTGCTTCTCCTGGGCCATGACAACAATACTGCTTAGGTCGTTTAATGTCAAGCAGCCTCTGACTCAAGGAGAGTTTTGAAACTGGTAGGGTAGCTCCTTTTTGTCAGGCAATGATTTTTGTGTTTGGTTTTAATTTTTTTTTGTCAAGGATTAATATGGCCTTGAGCATTCAAGTCGCTGGTGACTATCTACATGGGGAAAATCTCCCTAACCCAAGTTCTTGTTTCATAAAAGTGGAGAGGAGACGAGGAAATCCATGACATAGCCGTTGCATAGCTGCTCCTCAGAGGACCAGTGTTTGGGGCAGGGCCATGGGAGAATGCTGGAAGGTTTCGGTTCAGTTACCAAAACTCAAGCATCATTCTTGCCTACTTTTATCTCCTCCACCTCACCAAATCACAAATGGTCTGCAAAACAGGGTCTGAGACTGTAGGATTAATTCATATGGAGTGGCTGAAACACCAGAAAGCTGTGCAGAGAAGCAGCATAGAGCCACTGAGATGATGAGGGGACTGGAGCATCTCTCATATGAGGAGAGGCTGAGAGAGCTGGGTTTGTTTAGCCTGGAGGAGTCTGAGGGGGATCTCATTAATGCTTATAAATATCTAAAGGGCAAGTGTCAGGAGGATGGGACCAGACTCTTGGTTGTGCCCAGCAGCAGGACATAGAGCAGTGGTCACAAACTGGAACACAGAAGGTTGAGCTTAAACGTAAGGAAAAACTGCTTTACTGTGAGGGTGACAGAGCACTGAACAGGCTGCCCAGGGAGGTTGTGGAGTCTCCTTCTCTGGAGACATTCAAAACCCACCTGGACGTGTTCCTGTGTGATCTTCTCTAGGTGATCCTGCTCTGGCAGGGGGTTGGACTGGATGATCTTCAGATCATCTTCATCTTCTTCCCTTCCAACCCCTCCCATCCTGTGATTCTGTGATATCCTGGCTGCCTTTTGTCTGATCTCTTTGCACTTTGAAGAGAGGCCTTCACCATCAAAGCATGTGTCAGCTTAGTTCAGCCGATAGCCTTGAGTTGTGATGGATTTAACACTCCTTTTGGTTTATTGACATGTGGAGGCCTTGCCTTGTCTACCCAAATGGCCTTAAAACAGACAAACCATTTTAGAAGGGTTAAGAAAGCCAGGGAATTCCCCAGTGCCTTGTCCCAGAGCCATGTAACGGAAGCTTGGCTGGGTGGAGGCCGTGGGATGCCCACTGCAGCTGCTAGCAGGGGAAGTGCTGTTCTCCCACCAGGGAGCAGCTTTGGTGGCTGTGGAGCCAAGGATGCTCAGTTTGGCCTGGATCTGACCATCTATTAGCCCCATGCAGCTCTTAATGTTTTTGGGCACGGGGAGCAGTTTCATTAAATGACAGATGATCTTTGTATTAATTTTTTGTGTTATTCTTATTTACATCTTCCAGTGTAAATGTGTCTCTTTGGTTTCATTGCCATGAACTGTGAATTAACACCTACCCACTTGTTGTGCTTTGCTATTTTTTGTTTTCCATAGGAAATGACTTGCAGTTGAGTGAGTCTGGGAGCGACAGTGATGACTAGAGGCTGAGCTTTGGCTGTTTCTGTTACATACACATGAAGAACTAATTTACCTTGAAGTGATCCTATTGTTTACGAAGAGGAGCTGGCACAGAGATAGTTCCACGTGTGGAATTTTAATAGAAGAAATTCATAACCCTACAAAATAGGAGAAATTGAGGGCTGTTTTACATTGTGAATTAAGTGTATATTTTGTGTATATTTTTATTCTTTTAAAGCTTTAAATAGATATGTACAGTGAGTAAGCCAATATATGTTCCTGTCCGTCATCTATAAGTTTAATGTGTAACTTCACGATGTCATCTAAAAATTTCTTGTTTGTAGAAGATACTGAGCCCATCATGAATTTGAGGGGGACTTTTGTACATAGGATGAGCATGAGCCAATGAATTTTAAAAAAACATAGAGGAGCTAGTGTGTGCACTGAAGTAGGACTGTTATAAATTGAGTTTCAATGCTAAGTTGATTTCTTTGGCTATTTATGATTGATTTAATGGACTTACTTTTAAACAGTAGGAAAAGAGAATTCATAAAACCATTTTTGCCACAAACCTCGCTGCACCAGTGCCTTATAAGCAGGTTTTTTTAAACAGGGCTTCAGTTCCTGCCACCTTTCCTATAGGGAGCAATGCTGAAACCTCTTCAGATTGCTTATGTGAACAAGAGCTGTATTTCACATGCAGCCAGCTGTACTCTGGGCATAGTTAGTCCAGCAAGATAAAGGATATATATCGGTCACCTGAACACATCCAAGTAAGAACCAGATCAGCATTTTCTTGTGCAAGTGAAGTGTCTCATTTAACTCATTCAGACATTCAGACCTAAATCTTCAGGAAATATTTAGGAACCTGAAGACCAGTGAAACTGTGACATCTCAAATACAAGATACTGGACTGACTGAAACTCTTAAGTCCAGAGCCCTGTTTGCAGTTTCCTAGAGAGAGCAGAAAGAGATGATTAAACAATTCTGAAATGGCACACGTCTCTCTCCCACCACAGTTGTCCAGGTAAACTTTAGTTTGTATTGTTTGTTGGATGGGATCTCTGTGCTTGACAGGATTATACAGACATGAAATATTTGCCTAGGGTGAAATTCACCCCTGTTTAAGGGGGTTTAAAGGGTGCTTAGTTGGATTATCATTAACTTTTTTTTTTGTTGTTCACATGGAAAATGAGTGCTATGGGCAGCCTCTTACAGCTTGGACACGAGGCTGGCTTTTTAAAACGAAAATTCAACTGGCATAGGACAAATGGCACCACGATTGCGGTGTAATCCAGGGGAATGGGGAGCCGAATTGGATGCCTCTCCATTCTTCAGTGTCTGCTTTGCACTGCTTATGTCTGTCAGTCACTTTGTGTTTTAACTCCTGTTTGTTTACTGAGCTCTTTCCTTTTTTTAAGGTGTTGAAGAGCAAGGGGACATTTGAAGGGAGATTTTATTAAATGGTTTATTTTTTTGCATTAGATACATATTTAGGCATATTTTTGCATTATTGTACATACATTTAAAAATACTTGTTTTTTTAAAGTGTTTTATCATGTGGGTACATATTTTAACAGACAATTATGAAATATACTTGATGTAAAGCTGCAATTGCTCTCCTTTTTCTCATTTTTGGTTTTTTTTTTCCTTTCCCCTCTGTTCCTCCTCAAACAGTAAAAGTCCTCTCTTCTAACAAGCTTGTACCAATTTGGGATTTTACACTTTGGTACAGGAGATCTGCATGGTAGCTGGCAGTCTAATTAATGCTAATACTGCTCCTGACTTTACCCCAGCTTAAGATTTGAATAAGCAGGGAGACATTTCTCTGATGCCATTTCCCCATTACTGGAGCTTATTCCTGAGTTCTGTCAACATTATTTGTGCTTAAATAGAAAAGCGGCAGCATTTTCATTGCATACCATTCGCTGGCTGCTCCTGCATTCTGAAATCCAAGACATGTCACAGGAAGTTTACTAATTATGTGTAAATAAAATAAATATATGAAACAAGAGGATAAGACAACACCAGGCTACATTGACTTGAATTGCCAATTTAATTATGGTTTAGATCAGCAAGTGGGAAAGCTTCATTCAGATAATCAATTTCTGCCTTGCTTTGTGTTTGTACTTTAGGTCACGTTTCTCTGCTATCCCTCCCTGAAAGGTTTCTTCCCCTCTGTGTTGGTAACAAAACCAACAATTTTGTTTCACACAATTAACATACAGCTTTTTAAACTACATTTGGCCATCCTTTGTGCTCTCTGGAGATGCACACCCAGACTACAGCTTCTGGCTGCCCATGGGGCTGGTGAGTAACGTGGTGACCCACAACCCACTCGTGAATGTCAGTCACTGACACTGGTCCCTAAGTGTGTGTGACCAGCCCGTCCCCTCCCTGCCACTGTGTCTGGAGCAGCTCCTGGCCTCTCCTGCCACAGGATCTCTCTGGGACCTCCACCCTTCCCACAGCTCTCACGGGTACGTGGTATATGTTTCGTGAGGGTGAACCATGTGGAGGCTTCAGTAGGCAACTCCTAAGATCAGAATGGGCGGCTGCCACTTATCTTCCTTTTTCTAAATATGCAGGAGTGTGTTTTAAAGCCATTTCTAGCCTGATGTTTTGATTTGGGCTCTTAAAATTTTATGTTTCATGTATTAAGAAACAGTAACAGTTGTCTATCCGTTCCCATTAGATGATTGTTCTTCTGTTCATGATTTGCGGCAAGTTTTATTCGGATGGAAATTGGAATTCAAATTACTTGCAGAAAAACAGTTGATTAGAATTCTTTTAATTATTTGGCAGTATCTTTAACATGGTGAAGAAATAAGTTGAATAAAATATGTTTTGGTTAAACCTGTTAAAGTATTCCTGATTATTCTTGGTAGGTTCTAATCCTACAGGATTTTAGCATTAGCAGATCCTAACTACTTTATGCTACTTTTTCTGTATGAAGAAGGAACATCTTTTAAATGCCAGTTAGTTTAAATGTGAATTAACAGTGCATATGAATGTCATTATGTGAATGAACTGACACTAAGTCAATATTTCTTTGCATTCATGGGAGAGCTGCCTGCTGGCTATAGCGAGGTTAGCAGTTCAAGACAGCTTCAGTTTCTGATGGTTTCTAATGTTTGGTGACTTCAGCCATTTCAGTGGTTTGACTTTCCTTAAAACTTCACCAGCAAACGTGGCCTGCTTATGACTTTTTCCAATAATGAGAATTGCTTTAGGAGTAATACTAAAAAATTATTTAAATTAATTCAATTAAGTTGTCTTCATTTCAAATATCATTATTAAAATCTCTAATATTTAATTATTAATAAATATGACTTATATTGAAATATACAAAAAATGTTATTAATCAATTACGAATTAACCAAGCCTTTTTGCTTGTTTTCCAAAGGGACAAATTAAGTCACCTGCTTGCTCATGTTGCACACCTTAAAATACAATTGCAGCAATGCTCAAGACGGTGTTTCAAATTTTAGTCGTGCAGAAAAGCTTCCACCCCCTCTGCCCTTGTTCCACCCCTGAGGGCTGACCAGGCACAGGAACAGGCACAGGAACAGGCACAGGCACAGCTCGAGTCACTCCAGCTGCACCACAGCCACGGTCACCTCCAGGCAAAGCGTGTCCCAAGTCCCCTGCTGAGAGTCATGCATTCGTCAAAGCGTGCAGCACAACCCTTTCTTGTCACACCGAAGCGTCCCCCTCCTGTCACGCGTCTCAGCTGAACTGATTTTGTGGAGAAGGTAGACTGATGGGAAGATGTTTGTTTCCTTCAGCTTTGCTCGGAATAGCTTAGAGCTTGACTGTGGATAGTACATCTATTTTGAAGATACCGCGCCTCAGTTATTTGCATGGTTTGCTTTATTATAGACTAGCTATATGCCTGTTTATAGCTACATACAGAAACAGTTCACTGTGCAAAGCTGTGTAGTCTTTTTTCCTCTGTCAGAGTACATTTATTTGAATTTTTAAAGTTAAGTTCAACAATCCATGCATGTGTTTTTTTATTATTATTTTCTTTTTTTTTTAATTTGGAAACTAAGAGAAATGTAGTGTGGAATTACCTGTAATGGAGAACACTTATTTTCAGTATCTGCCCATGCATAAGCGTTCAGCGTGCTATACATTTCCTGCCAGCTGCTGAGTCAAAGGGATCCTATGGAAAACACGGCTGCCAGCAATGGGTATCTGGATGGGATGAAGGCTTCTGCTGGTAATCTGAGGGTCTCCAGTGCAGTTCCTAACAATGAATGTTGAATCTATCTGGTTATTAACAGGTTTTTTTTAATACGTGTACAAATACATGCAATATCGAAGGAGAAAGGGCATTGCTGATGCTTGCCTTAGAAGCTGTGATTCTGGCAAATCCTTGGAACAGACGGGTGAATTTAAAGCAGTTGATTGTTATGTATATCATACACCAAAACCATGTTCTCAGAAGATAAGCTGATTAATGAACTAATACGAAGTTAGTTAGCCAATAACTACCTCTGGTTTATGTGAGAGGGGTGTGTATATAAATTGAAAGATAGCTGTTTAGCTGTTTCTTCCTATTCCCACTGCTTTCGCTCCCCTCCTTTCATTCTTTTGTAATGCCATTATTTCTAGCACATGAATGTTTTCTGTGCCAAAGTCCTGCAGGAATTTACAGGAAAGGGTGTTGAAATGGTACAAATGCCTTAGCTGTATTTATTGTAAATCTAAATTTATTGCAAATTACAAAGACCCTGTGAATGGACCCATCTTCCTCTCCCCTCCAACAGCATTCCTTTGGGCAACAGAGAAAGAAAGGGCAAGAGGGGGAAACACCTCAAGCTGCTGCTGTGTTCGTGGAGGATGCTTTCTTGTGGAGCCATAGCCTGAGCTATGCTGGCTTGATCTCACAGCATCGCTGAAAATAAAACACAAAATTCACTGCTACCATTGCCCTAGGGCTGGCAGAAGTGGAGTTTGGAGTAAAAGTGAAAGAAATGAGACAACTGGTGGGATATCTTGGGAGGAGTCATATGAATTTGCCTTGAAATCCCACTGAATCTGTAGGTTCTAGTACAACTGTCAGTGATTTTAATGAACTTTTATGAAAACAGGGCTTTCTGACAGGCAGAATGTAAAAATGGACTAAATGTTACGTTGAAGGTTTTGCATGAAAACATTGACCTGCATTTCTTTCCAGACCACTTGCTTTGGTGTAGACCCTGTATGAAAACCTTTGAGGAACACTTGTACAGGGCCTGGTCCGAAGGAAAACATTCCCTGCATGTTGCAAGTAAGATATCATTGTCCACTTCTTTGCAACCCCAGCCAGGCCATAAATTCTGCCATCACCCCTTCATAACTTGGGAGTTGGCTTTTTCCTCCCACGCTCTGATACCTTCTTAACATTTTCCTACTGCCAGACATTATAATTGCTAACAAAAATAAACAAGCACGTGCATTTGGAAGCTGAATGGGAGGACAGGTTTGGGAGTGGTTTGTACCGCTTG